GTAAATGAATAATGTACATATTTGATTCATGTTATAGTGGTGTGTTTCTGTGTAATACCCTTAAACTGTACACTTATGAGACTCGTGTTAATTTGAATGTTCACAGTCGTTGGATAAGTTTGGGGAGATTTATCCTGCTAAGGCTAACACTGATGTGTTGCCAAGTATTGGGGTAGCCTGTCTCAGCTGCCAAGGTGAGACCCGAGGTACATGCAGTGTAAGTTTACTTGAAACCCTGAACCAGACCAGATTTCCTGTATTTCCCTGGACCTTGGAGATTGATGGGAAAAACTGAAAAGTTACACTTGACCCCTAGACTCGATTATGATACTACACTAGGTGTCGGATTGGGCTATCTTTGATATGCCAATCAATGAGATCCTTAGAGGGGGTCAAAACCTGGGTATGTTGGGACAGTCTGAGAATTCATCTGATTGGGTGATCATAGTGACAGGATCAACCCCTTTGTTGGACAAAGGATCAGCCCCTACCGATTTCAATCGTTGAAATTTTTTTTGCAAAATATATTTATATACGGATATACATATATATATATATATTATGGTTTCAAAATGTTTGCAAAAGGTTTTAATTCCCGGGATCCATGTGAGTAGAGAGTGCAACACTGTTCCTTGCAGCCGAGGGAGAGGTCCTCTNNNGGGGTCAAAACCTGGGTATGTTGGGACAGTCCGAGAATTCATCTAAGTGGGTGATCATAGTGATAGGATCAGCCCCTTTGTCGGACAAAGGTAATGATCGGGGATGCACTCTCTCTGAGAGAAACCAAGACTGCCGGCAGCCGATTTCAATCGTTGAAATTTGTTTTGCAAAATATATTTTATATACAAATATAAATTTATATATTATGGTTTCAAAATGTTTGTAAAAGGTTTTAATTCCCGGAATCCATGTGAGTAGAGAGTGTAGCACTGTTCCTTGCAGCCGAGGGAGAGGTCCTCTCTTGTCGGGCAGTGTATGATAATATAGGCTGAGAGGTTAAGTGTAAGACCATTGAGGGTAATACCTGATGGGCTAATCTTGCATCTACCCATAGTCCCTGGGTTTTTATAAGGTGGCTTGGCCCAAGGACCACTTAGTGTAAGTGTTGGGCCCATTAGGAGTACATGTGATGGGCTTTAGGGGGTTCACTGTCTTTTCAGTGAATTCAGCCAGGCCTTGTAACAAAGGCTAGGCTGAACTCATGTGGCTGATGTGTAGATCAATGATTGAGTCCCACACCATACAAAGAAGCCCAACTGGGCAATAGGTTGGAAGCAGTTTGAGCACTTAGACTTATTGGGCCTAAAGCCCATTTTGAGCTGGCCTAATTTGATTAGTAAAATAAGGGGGCGGATCTGGGATTAAATCAACAGATAGGATAGGGTCTTACCCTATCCACTCGGAGAGTCCAGATCTGAATTCAGATCTGGAAACCTCCTAATGAGATTAGGAGAGAGCTGATCTAATCTACAACAAAATAGCTCAGGATCTTCTCAGAAATAGTATTTGAGCTATGAGAAGAATCTGCCATTCTCATTCTTGGACCACCCTCAGGAATTTTACCCACTGCTAAATAGTTGACAATATGAGGAAACCACAGAGGTGTGCTATGGGAGCGCCAAGTGGTGTTCATCTGGAAAAGAGTAATCATGCACTGGTTCACTCTTCTCAATTTTTATTCTAGATAGATGATCAGTTACTACATTTTCAGACACTTTTTATCCCAAATCTCAAGGTCAAATTCTTGTAAAAGAATGATCCATCTGATGAGCCTAGGTTTGGTCTCTTTCTTAGAAAATAAATGTCTTAAGGCCGAGTGATCAGAATAGACAACCACTTTGGTGCCAAATAGGTATGGGTGAAATTTTTCTAGAGCAAACACTACAGCTAACAGTTCTTTTTCTGTGGTGGTATAATTCAATTGGGCTTCCAAGAGGGTACAGTGATGTGGCTCATGTGACACTAGCAAGTGCACTAGCCGTTCAAGTAGTAAAGAGGTGAATAGAGTATCGTTCCCACGAGAATTTAGGAAACAACTACTAATACTAAATTGGCCAATTCTTATCTGATTAACAAAACATCATAACTTTATTCAAAAGTTAAAATCCTAAGCTAAAATCTAACTAAAAAGCATTGGCTCAAATACCTTCTATCCAAGTTAAAAGAGTAAGCAAGAAAATCCAATTTCATGATTCAGCAAACAAACTACTTAACTCATTCGAATAGGCTATGATTCAGCCTTGGTTTGGTGAAACCCCAAATTCATGAACAACCTTTTTCAAGAGCATGTTCATCCTATGCATGAATGATGATCCTTATATCTCTATCAAGGATCTAATCATTCATGCATGCATTAATTCAAACACAATCAAGGGCCTCAATTCAAATCTGAATTGATCACCAACAGAATTGTGCAAGTTATCTCTAACCTTGCATGCAATTCAGTTCTTGAATAGTAAATCTTAATTCTTAGAGTCTCTCTCAAGCACTCTAGAAATTCCAAGCATTAGATCAAATCGGCCAACCTGAGAATTGTAAGTCTGAATTCTTTCTCAAGCAATTCGGATCTTACAAATCTCAGATATGAGATTTCAGATCTGAGTTTGTGAGAGATATAATCAGCCAATCTGATCTAGAATTCACACTTTATTTAAGAAACAATAAGAAGAGATCTGGTCTACTCGAATGATAAAGAAATTTGATTACACAATCTGAAATTTTACAGCATTGATTACAACAAGAAAGAATGAAAGAGAGGAAGAGAAAATTACATAGATAGAAGCTGAATTCGAACTCAAGAAAATAAAAACTAAGTAGAAATAGAACAAATGATCTCTCAATCAAATTTTCCCCAAATTCGACTCCCCTTCTTTTCTTCTTCCTTGCTTGAATCTCCTCAGCCCTTCTCCTTCTTGCGCCTAGCTCCTTCTTCTTTCTTCTTCTCTTCAAGGAATTTGAACCCCAAAGGACTGGAGAGCCTTAATCTTGGGCAAATGAACATCTCTCCCCCCTCTAGAGACCTCCTTATATAGGCTTTCAAGGAAGCTCTATCCTCTTCTTGAAGCCTCTAGAATTGGGTGCATTACACCCCTCTTGAACCTTCTAGAGTGCTCCCTCATTCTCTTCAAGAATCCTCTAGAAGTTGCCGCCCCTCGCTCCTTTTGGGCTACTATTTGGGCTGCAACTTAGCTTAGTCTTGAGCATATTTTGGGCTTTACTCTAGGCTGTTCTTGGGCTGAAATGGGCCTCTTCTTTGCTAGGCTGAATTTTTCTTCTTCTTTCTTTGGGTTTTCCCAAAGAGTGTAGCTTGCACTACTTGGGCCGAATGATACTCCTTTTCCCTTATGGCTAGGTCGGGCTGAATTTGATTAAAATTGGGCTTTCTTTTCTTGCTTTTTGCCTTCTTTTTCTTGAGTTGGTTGCCCTTGAAATCTTCCTTGTAATCAAGCTAAAATAGGGTGAAATTCAATTAAACCAACATAAAACTCCATGCAAAATCCTCATAAATTATAGGTAAATTATATGCTCATCAAATACCCCCACACCTAAGCTTTTGCTTGTCAAACAAAGACATCAGTAATAAACTGAACATTCCCCCCTTTCACCAGTTACCAGGTGAATTTTTAGGAGGGAAATGCATTGAGTGGTCAGTAAACTTTTGTAAGTGTTCAGCTCCTATTCTTATAAACTACCATTTAACACATGCATAAGAGCCAAGGAAAAGAAGAATATTAGTTTCTCCAAGTTCCATCTTTCACTCCCATTCAATATATAGATCAACTCCTTGATTGTCAAAATTAATAATCACTTTAAACTAGATTTCAAATCTGTAACTACACCTCATTGAGAGTTCAACTTCATTTTGCCCTTTTGAACCTCAACCGTCACCACATTTTCTTTGTCACTTTTTTTCTCGGGGTGAGTGCATTTTATGCTCCATCTCACCCTTTTCTTCCACTTTTATTATGAGTGCATTTTATGCTCCATCTCACACTTTTCTCTTCTCTCTCTCTTTTTTTTTTTTTTTTGGTGTGAGTGCTTTTTATGCTCCATCTCACACTAGTCACAGGCTTGAGGCAGATAGCAAGACTCATGTTTTAAGATGCTAGTTTTACTATTTAACTTAGAATAGCGGAGTCAATTAGGGCTTTGTCCCTTTTTCATTTGTTGAATATCATGCATCATCAATTCAGATGTGACCTAGCTCGACTGACCATTAATGATGAAATCAAGAGTTTTCATACACTTGGAGGTAGTTAGGGCTAGTCATGATAAAAGACATATTCAGCCCCCCTTTTCCTCATGCATGTACTAAGTTGGGTCAGTCACAAGAATACAAACTTAACACATGCATTGGTCTCTCTCAATTCATTGTATTCCTTCTTAAAAATCACCTAATATATAGCAATGAACTTGGGGTTCCAGTCTACTTGGTTATGTCATTGCCTGCATATGTGTGTGTTGGGGTGAATGAGGAGCATGGTTCCAGCCCCCACACCCTAGCCTCAGGCTCACTCCCCCACACTTAACATAAACATTGTCCTCAGTGTTCCTAGTGTTAGGGAATCACAATAAAACCAACAAGAGTAATACCAAGGAAAGAGAAGGGTGTATAGAGGACTCCCTTGGACATTAAAATGGATATTTTGGTGGGAAGCCTCTTCTACTAGAAATGAATTCAAACTTGAGAGAGATTTTTATTTTTCTAACTAACATCCTAAAAATAATCAACAAGAAAAAAATGCTTTAACCTAGTCATGAGCAAGCATTATTAGTCTAGAGGATCACTGGTTGTCGAGATAAAGAGTGGACGAAGGGGGAACAGTACCACCCACCAAATAAGGTTTCAGGCGCTGACCATTTACTTTAAATGTGCCTTGAACCGGGTGGGTGATTTCTACGGCCCCATGGGGAAAAACCTATGTAATGGTAATGGGTCCAAACCACCTGGATTTCAGCTTGCCTGGGAATAAGCGGAGACGGGAATTATATAACAATACTTGCTGGCCTACATGAAAGTCCCGTCTCAAGAAGTTCTTATCATGCCACCTTTTAATTCTATCTTTATAAACCTTGGCATTTTCATAGGCGGCAAGTCTGAATTCATCCATCTCATTCAATTGCAACCGTCTCTTAGCCCCGGTGGCCTGAATGTCAAAATTAAAGAATTTAAGAGCCCAAAAGGCCTTATGCTCTAACTCGTCTGGTAAATGACATGCTTTATCAAAGACCAATCTGTATGGGGACATGCCAATGGGTGTCTTATATGCAGATCTATATGCCCATAATGCATCATCTAATTTGTGCTCCCTGTTAGCCAACTCCACTTGGCCACTAGTTTGAGGGTGATAGGGGGTAGCCAATTTATGTTTAATTCCATATTTCTGCATTACCGCGCAAAGTGGTTGTTGCAGAAGTGAGTTCCCCTGTCACTAATTATAGCTCGAGGAGTGCCAAATTGGGTGAAGAGCTTTTTCAGGAAATGTACTACCCTCCTAGAGTCATTTGTGGGTAAAGCCATGGCTTCCACCCATTTAGATACATAATCAATACATAATCAATAGCAACGAGGATGTACTTATTCCCAAAAGAATTCCGGAAGGGTCCCATGAAATCTATACCCCAAACATCAAGGATTTCACGGATCAATATATTGGAAAGTGGCATTTCATTCTGTCGGGAAATGTTTCCCGATCTTTGGAATTTGTCACATGTAGACACATACCTATGGGCATCTTTGAACAGTGTTGGCCAATAAAAACCTTGGCTGGAGTGTAGTTAGCTCTTAGCTTTGTATGCCCTTAGCTTCAATCAGAATGATGTATTTTAGGAGTTTATTGTAAATGAATAAAAGTGCATATTTGATTCATGTTCCCTTGGTATGTTTCTGTGTAATACCCTTAAGCTTGACACTTAATGAGACTCGTGTTAGTTTAGAATGTTCACAGCCAGTAGGTCGGTCTGGGGAGACCTATCCTGACAAGGCTGACACTATGGTGCCACCAAGTCGGTTGGGGTGGCCTGTCTCAGCTGCCAAGGTGAGACCCTAGGCACATACAGTGTAGGATTAATTGAATCT